TTTTTCCTAATTTAGAAATTAGCATGGACAGTTTTTGCAGTTTTCTAACTCCCTATATTAGGTCCACATCATATACGGTGTTTTATAAATCATTAAACTCTTTGTAAACATGTCAAAGCGAAAACAGAAGAGGAATATCAAAGCCTGAAGCATTCACAGAGAGCTTGCAGAGGAGGACTGACAGAAGAGCCCAAGCCATTAACGCTCAATGTGGAGCGTACCACTCTGATCTGGAGGGGACTCTTTAGGCTGCAGGAGATCCAACATACATTTGTGAGAGATAGTTTCTCCATCTTTCAAATGAAGCTGTGCCGGAGTTTCTGCTAGGTCTGAGCAAATTGGCTTTCTTTTTTAAAATGGAAAGCCTTGTTAATAATGCAAGCTCCTAACCTCAGGGAAAGTTTAAGGTCCATGCACTGGAGGTGATGGGGGGATTGGTGACACCCCTGAATATCCCTCTGTGTGCTGCCACCATCATCTTCAGATGCCCTTCTGCATTTTTAATGTCCTGCTGTGCCCGTGTCACCCTGCATTGGGACAGAGGCATTGACTTTTCCCAGTCAGATCAGAGAAACATAAGCTAAAAGTCCCCCAAGGGTATTTTTTATTTAATTAATAAAAGAAAGCTTTTGTTACTGTAACAGTCCTCCACTAACAAACAGCATGGCATCCTTTAAAAAAACATTGAGAAGTAGTTTCAACCAAAGCTGTTTAGAGTAAGATAGGCACACAATGTGCAGTAATAAAATTAGCATACAACGGAAGCAAGGAATTATCACAATTGTGCTTGTTTGCATATAAGCACAAATACTCTACTCCGACAACAAATACACTGGTATTAAGGATTAGGGCTGCATGAAGCAGATATGTTTTAATTTGTGACAAGAATGCTCTTCCTTTTGAGATTTCTTTCATTCTTTGTTGTTCCGTCTTCTCCCCTCACTTTCTTCCCCAAGTGCTAGATATATTTGTTTACCTTGAAAGGCATTGCGTTGTCATTGCCATCATCCGTCTACTATAAGATAACGTTGACTTTCTGCAAGGATATAATCCTCTATATCAGGGGTGTCAAACTCAAGGCCCGGGGGCCAAATCCGGCCCGCGACTTCATTTGATGTGGCCCGCAAGAGCTTGCAAAGAATATAATACGTTATTATACAGTTACATTCCACTTTACAGACGACATGTCCCACAATGCATCGCGCACTGTGACATGCGCACTGAAGAGAGAATGATTTGTTCTGGACTTCTGCTTTCAGACGTAGTTAATTACTAAGTTATTACCCTATCCGATAATAATCCAATTCAGAGGCAATAATGTAATATAATACATTATATTGTAAAATTCTATATATATATTTATAATAGTTGAACCACCGGCCCCTTTGAGATGCAACCATAATGCTAATGTGGTGCCGCGCATGATGTTGAGTTTGACACCCCTGCTCTAAAAAAACCAAACAAGACCTTTAACTTACTTTGCTTCCCCCCGACAACCTTCAGTGAATACTTCTAATTCCGTCTCTATTGTTACTGTGCATCGGCCATCGCACACCGACGATTCCCCCTTTAGCACAATACTGTTATAAGATGAAGAGCACTGCATTTGTCACACGTAGATTTCATATCACAAATCGACGGCCACTGGCAGAGATGCAGTGCCTTCAACAAAGTCGCAGCATCAAACACACGCTACCTATTTCCCCCTCAGATGCGCTCATGGGTATCAGTGTGAGAAAGAATCTAGAACCGGCACTGAGCCTTCTCTAAATGTGATACACCTGCGATGATGACACTGCAAGTACACCAGGGAGCCAGCAATTGAACCTTTCGCAAAGCCACGCCCCTAAATGCCCGTTGCCAGCCAATCATATTACGATCACGGTCGCGGGCGGTTCGCCCGTGGAAGTCTCGACAAGCTTAGCGTTCAACATTCATTGCGAAAATGGTGAAGCGTTGTGCTTATGGTCTTTGCAAATCGGATTAGCAGATATCCCATAAGCTTAGAGGGGTTGGATATTTGGACGCCGTTTCCTAAACCCAAAACCGAGAGAGAGATGCCGCCAGTGACTAAGAAATGCGGCCCAGGCCCCCCATGCCCGGCTGAAATATGGGCGAATATCAACAAACACAAATAGCTTTGCTGTCAAGTTTAAATACGTGCTAACGTAGCTAGGCTAGCTGGCAAGATTACATTCACAATTAACTAATTTAATACTGAATTTCAGCTAACTAACGTTTAGCTAAAGTCACAGCGATTCAGCTGTCAAGCTGTGTGCTTCTAGGTCGTTTTGACATGTATATCACTTGATGCATAATAATGTCTGAAGCAGCTGAGCTCCGTTATTAGTCCTACCTGTGGTCAAAGTACGAAAACAAGAAAGGCCAAAGCGCAATCATTCATTTTATATTCATTGGCTTTATCTTTGTAGCCATTTTTGTTAATGGAAGCCTACTGCGCGACTTCTAAAATGCTGCTGCACAAGTGGGAGCCCCGACCCCACAAAGGAAGCACAAGTGTGGATTCCAGAAGCCACCAAGGAAACGGTAGTTAACTTTTAGAGCAAAGCTACAAGCATTTAAGTGCTCTTGTGATTGGTATTGTTTTAATTCAAAAGTAATATATAATTCCGTGCGAATTTGACATACAGGCTGCATCGTGGTTTTTCATGCTTGCACTGCGACCTGTATGCAAGTGCCTCTTATTGATGGTTGTGCGCTCCCTCTTTCTAATGTTTATACTGTGGATATAAGCCTGCCATGCGTATTGTAACCCCTTTTGTCCGGGACTGGAGGATATTGCGTGCGTTATTGCTCCAAATGAATCTGTTAAGGCGCTCCGACCGTTAACGGAGACCCTCCATTAATAGCTTTGGTTTAACGCATCTGGCTTCTCAGCTTGTCCGGACTAGGCAAGCAATAAACCAAGGGGCCGTGGCTTTGTGAAAGGTCATTGACAGTCCATTTGATCTGACTACCCGCTGTCCTACTCCTGCTCTTTAAAGAATGAGTTGAGCGCATGGTGGGAGCTTGCCTATCACGCATCTTGCCTGATGTTATTTCTTTAGCAGGGTGGTGTCCACTCATTCCGTCATTACATGGGCTTTGCTCTAGTTACATTATCGGGCTTTTAGATAAGGCTTCAATAAACTAGCAGCATGGGCTTTTAGGGGGCTGCGATGCTCTCATGCAGCTCTATATCCAATCTTGCCTGATGTGGAGTCTGTTTATCATCTTGCGCCGCAGGGCTTTCCCCCTTGTCCCTGCGTGCTCTTGCTTGCAGCAGGAAGTAATGGATGGCCTTGCCTTGGTTGCACCCAAGGACTTCTAGTTCCTCACTGTTTGGTCTTCAGTTTCGAGCTCAATGGCGTCTGCATGTGGTATGGTGATTTGATTAAATCCTAGGTTTAAAAGGGTTGAATATGGAAGGACGCCACGGGGTTGCCCTGCCAGTTTGTGAGCCAGTTGCTTTGCCATTTTAGCGATTGGGCGTGGCGCAATGGAAATGGACAAACTGAAATGACTTTCAGTGCTCCTTTGTGATTTGCACTAATGTGCCCCCGGGATTGAGGAATGACGCCGTGATTCCCCCAGGACGCCAGCCAGATTGAAACCGCCTGGCCAACAGATTTGAAGGATAGCAAATCATTTGAAACTCCAAATGTGGCATTAAGCCATCTTTATCAGCTGCCTGGGCAATATACCTCAACAATATAATTGCACTTGATAGAAATGAAATACGAATCTGAAAAGTGCCGCAAGAGTCTTCAACGCTAGCGAATCCAGGGCAACGTGAATATCTGGAGTGGCCTTTATAATTATACTTTAATTCCTTTTTTTTAGGCTAAAGGTGCAAGTTTCTCACCATTCATTTCAGGAATCGAGCTGATAAGAAAGGACTAAGGAGGTGGGCAGAGAGCAGATGACATATTTCTACGGGATTGCCTTTAGCGTTGCTACTCTCGCTTACACACACATTATCTATTGCGACGTAAAAATAGACAACATACTCCACTTCCAAGATTGGGACAGAGTGTTCCCAGCAGCTGCGCAGCATCAATACAGATGTTTTCTCATATAAGGATATCTCAATGTTTGAGTATCAATGGAACGCTTAATTTATTAGCATCGGTACGAACCTACCAAGTCACNAGAGACAATGGTCGTTCTGAATTATCAATAGATGTATTCATTTTAAGTGATTTTTATAACCTGAGGCCTTCTCTGAACTCCCTCTAACCTCGGTGTCAGCTCACTTAAAATGAATACATCTATTGATAATTCAGAACGACCATTGTCTCTCTAACTGTGTGTGACCCAACTCAGTAACACACATCATATAGCTAAACCATGTGATCTTTAATGAATATCAGAAATACGCTGCATTAAACATTCTGCTATAACAATGTCATGAGATAATGACCTGTCGACATTTGGAACATATCTGTGCGTTAGTTAATGTAAGGAAAATTGTGTGTGCGTCCATTTGGAAAACGTATATATACACAGTGTGATTCTTGTACTCCTCGGAGCATTACTATCACTGCTTGAGAGCAAAGGTAAGGTTTCTTCATTATTATTGATTGTTGGTCAACGAAATAATAATTGATCAATTATATCTGTGTTTGTGTTTTATTGATTCCTCTCTGTTTCATTCTTTCCTGTTGTGAGTGCTGAATTGCCAAAACATTTTTCTGGAATTTCTTAGAACCTTTCTACAACCTAACCGAAATTACCCCTTTCTCGTGCAAAAATATGTATTTACCTCTGGGCGTGATGATAATAATTACTGCCCTTGAGGACAACTTATTTGTCATTTCGGGTAATAATTATTTATCATCATTATTGTTTATTTTTTTACCTGCATTTCAACTAAGTAATTGTAAAACTAAATTGATAATAACACAATGCCTTGTAGAGTATAATATATATATTTTTCTACTGTTTGTCTCTCCAATGTATGTATATGGATTTGCTCAATCCAACAAGGTACTGCATTTGTGATGTCATGTACACATTTAATATATTTAGCGTTTGTATTATACTGAAAACCCACCTTCATCTCCACATACTAGCTTCTTAGCAATGCAGGGGATTTCCACATATCCAAACTCTGTGAGCCTGGACACCTGCTGGGCTGTGATGGGATGCTGCCACATGGCTGTATTCATGGCAGGGCAGAAGAGGAGAGGGCGACTGGTATCCCAGGCTCTCACCACACATGTCTGCCAATGACAAAGACCAATCAACTTTTCAAGTAAATCATCTAAATACTTATTATTTGAAAGAACACTTTGTAGGGAGTCAGATAGTGTGTGCATGTTCTCACCAGGAGATTGTCACAAATTCCATTCGCAATTTTTCCAAGAGTGTTGGCATCAAGGGGGGCAATGACAAAAAGGTCTGCCCAGCGCCTTAGCTCAATGTGCAACACAGGGTCAGACCTCTGAGTCCACAGCTAGAACAGAGACATGATGTCAGCAACACAACAAAAGAAACACTTCCTCACTTCCTTTCTAGATAGCTTGACACTTTAGACCAGAGTTTCTCAATCTTCCTTGCTCTTGACCACGTTTTTATGTCTCAACATTCTCCTGACCTCAGCCATTCGATAGCTGTCACGCAATGTCTGGATAATTTACGCCACACTTTAATTCACTCGTTGTGATCTTTTATATTTTAATTTCAAGAACATGAAGGGAGCTTGACATTGACTGTTTTCCAATTGTTCAAATATGTGTCACACGGATTCAACTTCTGAAATGAATACATCAGTTATTGAAATCTAAATTGAAGGAATCTTACACAATCTTGTCAGCTTATCAGTAGCACCAAGCTTGAGAAACTGCTGTAGGCTGCCAGTTCATAATGGCTTAACTATGACATTTGACAGGTTAGTTTTTACCTCCCACTCATCCTTGTCATCGTAGACTTTTACTGAGACCTCTGCAGGATTGTAGAAGTGCTTGGCATGTTCGGTAGTGACTACTCTTACGTCCACCTTAAGCATAAAACAAGACAGTGACAGTCACAGGGTTTTTAAAAGCACACTTTTCTATTGCTTTAGGCTATTGACAAGATGGAACAAATAATTAGAGACACATACAAAGGGCAAGTAACTGATCTTTCTCTTAGAGAACATGTATGGGTCTTGCACTTTAGTATACATGAACACCTTTCTCAGAATTGTGTTGTCAGAGTTGCACAATAACACATTGGCATGTGGTTTTGACTTCTCAGAACCATTTCATTTAATTATACAATATTATCAAATCAAAATACATTTATTGCTTAGTGTAACTCCTAGGGTTTGAGTTTCGGTCTCTCAAGCTGAATCCACATTACAAATATTAAGGATGCCTTTTTCATCATTGTTGCAAAACACATTAAAGAGGAATACAGGCATCTCCTTTACTTCTTGTTTTAGTTTCCCATTGACACTCAGGTTGAGGTTTTCATGAATGCAGCTTCTGCTAATGCTGCCGAGTATGCTGCAGCCACTGCTTTGTTCATTTATTCCAACTGTACTTTGAGAAGATTTAAAGGAAAACGGCAGGATGTGAAAGTAAAATACCAATACTGTCGCTAAATAAGAGAGATGTTCAACAGTATAACCGTGTTGTTTTATACAGCTGACTAACAGCTGCAACATCTCCATCTTGTGGTTAGGGTGAGGTTATGCCACCATGTAGAGAAACAATGTGTTAGGATGCATGGGAGTATGGTTGTTGGATATGTTACATAGGTAGACTGTAGTAGACAGTGATATAGCATTATGTATCAAGTCCTTAACTCTTAAGCATTGACCCAATCATAGTCTAAATGATAACCAATATTCTGAATGATTGTGTGTATCCCTTGCTTGGAGCCTGGGACATTCCTGTGTATGGTAATTGCCAACTCCCTTAAGCTATCAGGATCAGTTGCTTGAATAAGGTTTACAAGCTCCTTATCATGCCATGTTGAAAGCAGAGCCATAAACACGACAACCTCTCGATAACATCTAAAGAAACTACACTTCAGATGGCGTTTTGTTTGGGCGCTTGAACATGTTTCAGCTTGAGATATAATGTCTGGTTTATTAAAAGAGACTTGGTTAGGTAAAATGAGAGTTGGGCAGAACTGATAGTGGCTACATCTTGGACATTTCCTCTGTGTCCTGATTGATTTGTCATAGTCTGTACTCCTTTATCACGTTTTAATAAACCTTCAGTTTTAAGACATCAGCTCATCAGTTTCATTGTTTCACTTTTCATCCAGTCCTTTAAAGAAGGCTCTGCACAGAAATGAATATGAAGCAGCTCACCCCAGAGAGCTGAAGAAGCTGGGATACCAACACAGGCAGTTTCAGGGCTGCAACACTTCCCGTCACACCGACAAGAACACGACATGTCCCACAAGATTTCAACAAACCAGCCTTTAGACCAGAATCATGCTCCTCTGTCTGCATATTAGCATGTTACCAAGAAAAAAGTGGGCAAAGTGCTGTATTTCTCATGTAAACCACTTCTGGGTTGCTACTTCCGTAAATATTCACCCAGTTCTGCCAGCCAATCAGAGGAGAGCAGAACCGACGTATCGTGTACGAGCACGTCGTAACGTTGACAGATGGCGAACGTGCGCATTCACAGAATATTCTGGGTATTTGCTGACGGCTAGCATGAAGCGAGGATAGTTTAATCATTGTTTAGCCTGACATTTAAAAAAAAATAATCTACACAAAAAGCGGAACAATGCCGCTCACACCCCTCGTTTACTGGGCTCAACGCCACGAAGACATTTACCTGCGAGTGGAGCTGACAGACGCTCAGGTGAGCTAACAATAGGGTATCATGCAGGACGTAGATTTACCAAGGAACATGCTTTCTGTCAGGGCTTGTCATTTATTGTATGCCTCTAAGGGTAAATATTAAATTAGGCAAATGAAGTGTGCTGGTTCCTGTACTTGCCCTCGCTGGGTAGCTGCACACTTTGCATGTTTACGAGATATGATATTAACAAAGCCCTCTGTTAAGGCATGTTGTCATGGATTTAATCAAATGTGTATACTATAGTCAGTTGCATAAGTTAATTTATCCTTTTCAAATGTGGCATCATTGTGGTCATAGTTTTGTGTCCTGATAGCACTGCAGGTTACTGTGGGTGTTACACAGAAAACGGAAACAAGATCTGACACAGGGTGTTAATTCTGTTAAACAGCTCATTTCCTCCAGAGTGTCTTAAAACAAGGAACAACAAATTGTTGCTGCTGGTAATTAAATGTCACTATAGCACTCTATAATCCACTGTTGATGCATTAGTGTTAAAGAAGCATTGACTTCAAATTCAACAGGGTTATTGTCTGAATCCAGTTGTGTTGAGGTTGTAATATCATTATTTAATTCAAATCTAAATATTTAAGAGGAAGTACAAACTAATCATCGGCCACTCTGCTTCTTGTTGCAGGATATAGATGTGCATGTCCATGAAAACATCCTTCAGTTTAAAGGTAACATACATTTCATGTTTATTTGACAATGCAAATGTTTTAGGAAATGAATGATTTGTGACATTTCTTTTTGTGTGTGTGTGTAGCCCAGGGCCATGGTGCGAAAGGACAACATGATTATGAGTTTAGCTTGGAGTTTCTTTCACCAGTAAAGCCAGAGGTATGTCTCTATTCAAAGACCACTCCTAGCTATCTGCTGCTCCTTTCTTCATATTCCTTCTAGTTTTGCTGACTATGCTCTATAAATGAATCTGTCTGCAGGTGATCCACAGGTCCACGCAGCGCCAGGTGAGCATCACGGTGAAGAAAGGGCAGCACGGCTGGTGGGAGAGACTGACGCTGAAGGAGCGCAAACCGGTGTTCCTGGCTCCGGACTTTGACCGCTGGCTGGACGAGTCGGATGCTGAGATGGAGATCCGGGAAAAAGTAAGATTTAAAGGTCACCTATTATGCAAAATCCACTTTTTCATGTATTTTCTACATCAACATGTGTAAAGAGATTCTGAAAGCTTCAGGAAAAAATATTTGCTCTCTTTTTGTCCTGATCCATTTATATAAAAACCTGCTGATCAGATTTTGGCCACTTTATGATGTCATAACGATGTTTTTGGCTTATGTAACCATTAGCCAATCACCACCAAGGTACCCCCCACCTTATCACCTGAATCTCCTCCTAGAGCACCATTGTGTTCTTTTTAACCAAATATCTCAGAGGGGCATGGGGAGTGGCTCCTTATTTTCATCTAAAGTTAAAGACAGAGAATCAGCACTTTTGAAACAGGGCTGAAACAGAGGGGATTATGGGATGCATGATCTGTTTGGTGTTTGGAGCCTAACACTTCAGAGACATGTTTGTATATCTGAGACCTATACTATATTGATGAAAAACAGTATAATAGGGGACCTTTAAGTTATTGCATCAGAGGGACATTGTAATACTGTATATTTAACAGATGGTTAAATAACATACTCAATCATTCAAATGACTAAATTATTATAGTAATATTGACACAGAATGCAAAGATTGAAAACGTATTAATCTACATTTTATTTTTTCTTAAAAAAGGATGAGAAAAAGAACAGGCTGAAGGCTTCCAGGCATAAAGAGGAAGAAGGTGAGTTCACATCTCCCATGATCCTTTGAGGTTTTTCGCTGTAGTCTTTTTCATATAACTTTAATCAAGCAAGTTGATGTTGGTTGCTTCAATGTTTTTTTGTTCTTTCAAATGTTCCAGGGTTTATCAGCCTGAAAACAGCCTTCCTGTTTGTCTATAACCTGGTGCAGTTTCTTGGTTTTTCATGGATCTTTGTCAACATGACCGTGCGGCTCTTCATCTTTGGCCAAGGTGAGAAAAACAAAACTGCTGTGGCTTTACATTTGCTATTGTTTTTCTTCTGTGATCGATTTGTTCACAAATACCATGGAAAGAATGATTATTTATAATGATACTCTCTCTTTCCAGATTCTCTCTACGACACATTTCACACCATATCGGACGTGATGTTCTTCTGCCAGATCTTGGCTGCAGTCGAAGTCCTCAACGCTGCTTTTGGTGTCGTCCACTCGGGTGTTATTCCAACTCTTATACAGGTGTGCGAGGCTTGTTTGATGTGAAGGGAAACCTGCTTTGTGTTACAAAGAGCTGATTCATTTAGAATGCAAGTACTTCTTTTATGGGTTTTGTTTTCTTATTAGGTGGTTGGAAGGAATTTTGTCCTCTTCATCATCTTTGGTAGTTTGGAAGAAATGCACAACCGGCCTGTTGTGTTCTTCGTCTTCTATCTGTGGAGTGCCATTGAGATTGTGCGGTAAGTAAGCATCTGCATGGTTGGTGAACAGTCCCTTCATGGGACTAGGTAAAGGCTGACGTTTCTTTTCAAGTCCTAGAACAATCTTTTGTATGAAGCCAGTGTATATAAATCCTTTTGCTGAATTGTGGATTTTGTTTTCAATAAGATATATAAGTTTAAACAATGTTGTAAATGTATGTCATACAAAGGACACACATTTGATGGTACCCGTTTCTAAAAAATTTAGAATTGGTTGCTTTTCTTGTCCTTAAATTATAGTTAAATAAATATTTTTGTGTTTTGACTGTTAGGAGAAAACAAGACATTTAATGGCCTCATATTGTGCTCATAATGATTTCACACTGTTTTCCAATGCTTTATAGATCAGACAGAACGAGTCGTGACAGATTATTTGATAGTGAAAATAATAAATAGCTGCAGTCCTATGGAAAGGCTGTTTTGTGGCATTAACTGTTGACTCAACAAGTGCAGTAAAAATGCAGTGAAGATCCCTTTGTTGCAGCAAAGTCACAGACTCGACCTGACTAAGGTTTGAGGTTCTCTCAGCAGAAGTTGGTGTTACAATAATCAACAGAACAGCAAGCAGATCATTTAGCCTACATTGTTATAAAGATGCCTCACTTGATGAGCTACGTCTTGTTTCCTCCATCAAATAACATTCATCTCCAATTTTAGGTATCCATTTTACATGCTGGGCTGCTTCAACACAGAGTGGAAAACTCTGACATGGCTGCGGTACACAATCTGGATACCACTGTATCCATTAGGTGTTTTAGCAGAAGGTGAGCTTGTTTACGTCTCTTGGTATCAATACAAAATAATCACATGCAAGTACTAAAGTGTCTCTAAATCCCTACAGCTGTTGCTGTAATACAATCCATTCCCATCTTTGATGAGACCAAACTCTTCAGCATTCCTCTCCCGAAAGCCCTCGGTACTTCCATCAGCTTCTCTTTCGTCCTGTACATCTATCTGGTCCTCATGTTTCTTGGTAAGTTTGCACATACATCATTATCTATATATTATCTTCTAATGTCAGCTTTTTTGTACTGATATCAATCTTTCTATTTTAGGACTGCTTATCAACTTTCGTCATCTCTACAAGCAGAGGAAGAGGCGTTTCCGTACCAAGAAGAGGAAAGCTAATTGAGGTTCAGAACAAACAACACCTCTGCTGCCTGCCTGGTTAAACGGTTTCAAACCATGTTTCAGGTCAAACTGTTTCTTTGTTATGAAGACGGTTTCCTTATCCATAGTTTTTCTTACTAAAACAGTTGAATTAGATTTCACCCTGAACAACCCACAGATGATGCAACATGTCATCATTGCACTGACGTCTCATTTACTGATTAATTCCTCTGGTATTTAAAAAAAAAAAGTTTTGTAGATTAGTTAAAAGATGTAATAAGCCATAAAAAGTATACACATGTGATTCCATTTATTTTCCTTTTGATATTGTTGGTGTTTCTTAATGCAGTGGTAGTCCTCCTGATGTCGTTTATAATAACAATGTGTGTATGAATGAAGAAAGTACAAAGTTCTCAACAAATACTGTATTCGTTCTGAAACATCCCACAAACCTCAGGGACCATTACACTGGTGACTGCTCAAATACAGAGGGGCGGTTGTCCCTTTAGCTCAATAACCTACTCTGTAGAATTTGTATTTTGACAATTATATGAATTTTGAAAGCCAAGTTTGACATGTTTACTTGACAATGAATAAAAGGAAATTTTAAATCTAGTCAATTTGTGAAAAAGGTCTTACAAAGGAACATGTAAAAAAATATGTACACGCTAACATTTTACAAAACCTTCACAAGGTATATTTAGCCATTTTCAGGCAGTATCAAAGAAGGAGTGCACGTCATCACACTGACTCATCCTGGGTCCACACGGCTTCTGAAGCGGCCCCTTTGAGTCCTTTAAACAACAACAGACGCTGTGTCATCGTTGGTCCACACAGGCTGATGTTGCTAGATTTCAGTCAATTCTTCACTCTTTCAGACGAGGCTCAGCTGGAGAAGTCAGTGTGCATGGGAGCGATATTGTGGTCAAAAGCAGCGTACTGGGAGTCCCCGGTGCTGGCCAGTTTGAGCTGCTGTGCGGCGTGGGACAGCTGGAAGGCAGCGTCAGGGTGGGCCGAGTCGGGCAGCAGGGTGCACTCTCTCTCCAGCAGGTCGGCCACGCCCTTCAGGAGCTCCCAGAAACCGAACGCCAACGCAGCCTTACGCAGACGGTTCAGCTCCTGACACATTGAATTGGAAAAGCGTCATTAATTGGATGGAAAATATAGATCAAGTTCTAAGTTAAGAGAATCTGCTAGATTTACCTTGTAGAATGTTTGAGTTTTATCAGGCAGCTTCCTTGCATTCCTCAGGATCTTCTGCACATCAGTCTTTAATAGGAAAACAACAATAAATAGTCAATGATGGCCAGAAATGACCCTTTAAACATTCTTTGACTCATTTTTACAGAAACACTCATTCAACAACTCCTTTAAACCAAACACGCGGTAAAGGCTCTAGTGGTATATCTTACAAACAAGCTTTTACTGTTTTCAGCCTCCCAAATATGGAGATTCATAGTTATTCCCTGTTTCATTTCATATTAAAGTCAATATATTTTAAATTACAATATCTTCTGGGTTTGGGACTGACTAGAGGACATCACCTTAGAATCTGGGGGTGACATTCTATAGAACGATTAATAGAGAAAATAATTGGCATATTCATTGATAGACAATAATAGTTAGTTGCAGGCCTTCCTATGAGCCCTGAGACTCCATAGAGAGTCCATAGGAGCCTGTTAATTCTACTTCAATGCACAGAATTGATAAAAATATGATGATACTTTTAATTTATAAAAAGGTCCTAGCTATAATGTATTGAGGGAAAACAGTCTCTCTGAAATATGGCATGTGGACATTAATCATAAAAGACTTTAACAAACAGCAGTGCTTGTTTCCAGTACCTGTAGCCCACTGGCCTTGATCCACACCGTGACATTCTGCGCATAGCTTCGTTTGACTGAAGGCTGCAGAGGGAAAGGACTTTTACTGTCATCCTCTCCATAGGGATTTTCAGCTGCCTCTGAAACACAACAAGGGTCAGAAAACATCAGAGTGAAGCCACACATTGAATGCCAGCCAAATATAGACTGTTTAATTATTAACTGCTTGATTATGAACACAGAGGCCTTTGGTCTCAAGGATTTACCTGTTCAAGGTTAGTGTGTCATAGGTTATGTTGTAATGCAGAGTTAAACAATATCCTTAAAATGACCTTATATATTAAATTATGCCTTCAGGAAAAATAAGCCATATAGTGTTCGAACAATATGCTTAAGAGACCCTTTGTTTTGTTGAAATTGCTGTTTGTCAGGTCTGGGGTTATGAGTTACCTGATATTGGTCCCAAATGTGTGATCTTGCCCAGCCAAGGCAGAGGCTCCGACCCAGGCTCAAACAGAGACATCATCAGGTTCGACTTCTTCTTGCTGTCTGCTTGGGAGTAAAGCATGCCGTACCACTCCGGCCTGAAGAAAAACAAACATGGTTTAGACCACTTCTTCATGAAAAACTCCTTTCATTATGCAGGTGCCTTAATATTTAAATGCACTAATTTCTGACCACAACAGAATTGAAATATGTTAAAGTCTCACCCCAGCTGGACGAGGGCCACCATGCCCTCCACTTTAAGGCTGCCATGTAAGAGTACACAGAAGTTTGGATTTTTGCCTGCCATTTGACTGGCAGAGGGTTCCTCCTCAAGCTCATCGGTGGCTCCTGTGCCAACTTCATCCACCTCTGAAATCAAAAATGTATAAAGTTGATTGTAAATACTGAAACCTGACATGTGGCATTCATGAGAGCTCATTGATTGTTTGTGTTTTAAGCCGGGCTTCACCCGACAAAGGTTTACAGAACAACGCTGATTTTTTTTCTGCCGATGCTGGTTGCAAAAAGACATGGATGACCGTTAACTGTAGTGAATTGTGTTGTCTTGAAGCAAGCAACAACATTTAGATGTAGGGAAATAAAAAACGGGGGGGGGGAACTGGTTTCAAACCTTCCACTCCTCAGAGATAATCAGAGAATATTTTGCTAAAATCAGTTCCACCAAAATCAATGAGCGTATAGCTGACATGAAATATAAGTTTATCTTTTCTAAAAACCACTAACCTTTGTTTACATTAATAGGCAGTACCAAGTGTCTGGATATAACAGGAGGACTGGATATATCAGCAATTTCAATGAAGCCCACTAATTCCAAATCTGAAACAAGTAAAACAGAACAAAGATGAGTTATAGCAAAACATGGATTAACGTGAACTGACGTTTGAGGCGATCTAGGTACCTGGATTGATGGAGCGCGGCATGGGGTCCACCTCTTCATCCATCACTATAGGCTCCGGCCGAGGGAACACCTGAACGTCTGAGGACAGGTTCCCACAGTGCAGGACCGCATGGAAGGGAGAGTACGCGTGATCAATCAGCCTCCTGAAGACAAACAAAGAAACATGTTCAAACACTAGAAGTGAAACAAATTCTGGACTATTTCCCCATTTGATATCTTACCCAAACATGCCCTGTACACTCTTCATGCAAAGAGGGCCCTCCATAGTGAAGATCTGTCCATCACCTCCACTCAGATGAAGTAGCTCCTCCAAGTTGTTCATGGCATCAGTCGTCTGGAGCTGCAAGTACACAAGAAAGGAGGTGGCATTGAACAGCTGGGGAATGTATTGCAAGCACTAACTAGCTTTTATTTTACATGGTTTCAAGGTACACTGGAGAAAGGTGTTGCTACTTGACAGAAATTACACAAAAAATGAATGTGCTAAAACATAAATATTTAAAGTTTGAATTCAGACGTAGTGGAGGAAAATTCACACCTTTTTCCCACAGTCAAATATTGGATCAGTATTTAAAACCACTGCTTTAAGTACATCACCATGCAAAACATGTTCTTTCCAACAACCAACCAACCAACCAACCAACCAACCATTCTCTCATCATAGGATTTATTCAACAACATCTAAGATATAAAAACCAAGTAGATGGCTACAACATGTTCTTTATAACCAGCCGCTGACGTAAAATACAGATTTAATACATGATTTTACACTGACTGTGTCCAGATCAGGATACAAGCTAATAGAAAGTAAATGTTGACTCGCTCAGTACCTCCTCTGCATTGGCTATAGACATGATGAACATTTTTGTTGGGAAGGGGAAAGGAAGGGGGAACTTCTTGTCATCCGCACGATGCTTCAGTGATTGGAGGGATTGACGAAGGGAACCCTTTCCAATACCAAGAGATCCATCAGTGACTAGCACCACCTGCAGGACAAAGTAAGGGGGTACATCAACATAATCGTCTGTAAGAATAAATGGCTGAAATCACTTTGGAAAAGAAATACCAGCTTTATAAATCAAAGGGATGTGTGATGATCTTGTATAGAGACAACATTACCTGACAGGGACAGGCACTGCCCCACTCCTGCTGTACCACGCTACTAACTCCATTAAGAGCTGATTCAACACACGTTTTGTCATAGTCCTCCAGGTTGCCCAAAGCCTCCTGCACACACAAACAAATCTATTAGAAAATCCTTAAATGTACTCCAAAGTCAGACTGGTTTTCACTGAGGTAAACGAAGGTGGTTAATCAGGAGAGCAACATATGCTTCGATTACCAGGCGTCATTCGATGCACATTGTTATCATTGTACCTGTAATGCATTGTAATCTCTAGTGAAAGGCACCAAGAGCTCCCAGAGGGAAGAAAAGGCCATCAGTGATGTGAACTCCAGGCGGTAGTTTGAGGCCATGTGTTCAAATAACATATTTAGTCCGTGGACAGCCAGGTTCTTCCTCTGGAACTCGTCGCCGCCGTCCAGTGACACCGGCCGAGTCATGGACAGAGACACGTCCATCAGGATAACGGTAGGCATGGTTTACTGCTTATAAAGACCACCAGGATTAGAATTAAAGTACCCTCCAACTTGCTCCCACTGAAGGAAAATAAACAAACAACGATGCAGGAGTTAGCTATATTAAAATATGTGGCATCTGTCTCTGAAATGCATTTGAACAAACAACGACCAGTAACTACGTTGAAAGCTGAACAGAAGACATGTCACAGCAGATTACTGTTAGCTAATAGTTAGCTAGTTTTTCAGCTAACTTACGCTAGCATTTTGAAACATAATGAAATAACTATGTTGCTTGATATTTAACGAGCGTGAGATGATGATTATCTATACGTTACACTGTATAGAGAATGATTTATACAAGAACAATATTAATATATACGTGCCATTCAACGTTTCGCTCGCCATCCAGTGTTGTTTGTGTTGTAAGGTGCAACGCTACTTCCGTCCGGGTGACCGCAGTCTCTAGAATAAATAGTTCCTATGTGATTTTAGGTTTGTTATAGATAGTTCTATGGTGAAGATAACAGACAACATGACATTAACAGGGAAATACAACAATTATTTATTTTATGAATTTGACCGCCTCATGCAGGTAATACATTCAAGGTTAGAGTATAGATTTAGCATCCAGTGAGAAATTGTTTTTGTCAAAAAAACTGTGCTTGTTGTAAAAGTGAGGATTGTGAAAGCTCGTCCAAGAGGAATATGGTACCATGCCAGTAATGCACATTTAGTTTTTGGTATCTAATCATTTGGTAAGAATCCTAGGATTTAAAACGTTGGTGAATCCTATGATTAAACT